TCTGTGATACACCTCTTTATCTCAGGCTTCAAATGCTCATCAGACCTTTCAGTCCCAAAGAAACCAGGAGTGTCAATCAAAGTGATGCTTCTTCCATTGACAGATATGGTGAAAAATGTCTCTCCAAATATGGTGTTATGGTGCCCAACTGCTTTTCCCAGATCCAGTTTTTCCCAGTGGGACAATCCTCTTTGAACTCAGCACTATAGTAACCAATAATGACTCTTCTCTAAAATGAGTGATCCCACCTTCAACATGTTCATAGTGACAATGCTGATATGCTGATTTGTAGCAGGTGTAATGTCGCCATCTAAGTTTAATGTGTTGCATTAAACAAATGGTAATTAAAGCTAAATACAAACAAAGTGATGTGTGGTATATTTCACCTGTCTTGTTGATTTAATTGTTTTTTTTTTATTTACGCATTTAAAATGTTCCATTGTATAGCTGAGGCTGATGGGAATGCCATTTGTTGATGAACCAAAGTATTGGGCAGATAATATTTGGGCCTGATGATGGCGTCAGATGAAAATTAAAGGAATCATTACCAGAATTCCTGAGGAATTTTACCAGATTTCATGGAAATTCATCCAGTATGTCAGTCATATTATGAGTAATGAGTGAATCTTAGAAGTGTGAGGCAGAATCAAGTACAGCATCTTTTAGTGTTAAGAAATTGATACAATGGTGAAATGTAAGAGTGAAAGTCCATTTCCTTAAGTATTAAAGTACAAATTTGAGATACTTGACCTTCAGATAAGTGTTTCAAGTTCATGCAAATTACTTCTACTGTTACATTTCATAGGAAAATATGAATATATATATTATAAAAACAAGTAAATCATATCCTCTCATCTATCATATTAAGCTATATTAGACAGACAATTGCAGCCTGATCAACAGTGGCACACATTAACCTCTCATAAATCAGCATAACTCAATCAGTTCTGCATAAGCTTCAATGTCTGACTGATGATGATACGGATCGTCCTTCATCCCAAGGCCAGGGTACAGAGGCTGACCGAACGTGGCGTGCACTTTGTGCAGGAGAGTCATTATGCCGGAGACGCTATAAAAGCACAGAACACCCGCCTTATGATCCAGGTACACTCCGATCGTGGAGGATTGGGGGCCTGGCACTGTCAAGCTGTTTGCGTTGTCTTGGAAAGAGTAACCATTTGGGGAGCACTCTAAACTCCACGACTTGTCATTATTCCCAAACTCTGAGTAATGTGAGGATGATCTGCTGATGTCTTTGTATGACACCGCCACAGACACTGTACCACCACTCCAGCTGACCTCCCAGTAGCAACGCTCCGTCAAACCCTGTGTGCACAACACCTGCATGGCATTTGTAAACCTTTCTTTCTTTTTCTTAGAATAATAGTTCTCATACTTTTGATGCGTCCCCCAATATTCTTGCGGTGGACACATTTGTTGGCTGTTCTCTTGTGAGGACGTAATTTGATGGAAGGAAGCAGAAAAAAATTAACATGCCTTTAGATTCTGTTTGATTTGAATGGTAATTGTGGAACACTGAATCAAATTTAACCGGAAAATCTCGTCTTTGGCACCGGTGGCAGGACAACATCTATAGTAGACACTAACAAAAAGAAAAATTCTAAATATGACTTGATTCAAACTAAACCGCTTTATAACTCTGGATTTTAATATTTGTATCAGGTACCTGCGGCAGAGAGTGGGGTGCCATGTGTCTCTCAAGAGGCGCTCTATGTCATTCCTCAGTATGAGGACTAGGACTACTAGTATGTAAAAACACATACAATGTACTGTAGTTAGTACTGTAGTAGTCCACCAGTAGATCACCAGTTACCAGTTAAGTTACCAGTTGTAATAAACAGTATTTATAACTTCAGTGTACAATGTCCAATCTTCACTAAACTTTACATATTCTGTAACAGTCCCACCCTGCACACGTCCTCATAACTTCATTGTCTTCATTCAGATATAGTGATAGCGCCAACTACTGGCAACAGGAAGTAAGCGCTGCATGATTTACATGAAATGTTCATGTTGTGGGCTGCACGTGTTACACTGGCATGTGACCCTATTGTAATTGTAAGGATTCTTATTCTAGTAACAAATGAATCGCGTATTTGGAGGCTTTCCCGCAATCGAAAACGGTGAAAAATTTCGGATTTTCTGGGTCCATGATCCAATCACAATGAAACCTCACATGTTTGATAAAAGTCCCGCCCTGAAAACGTCTATGTGATAACATTCAGTAATAGTTAGAGCGCCACCTAGAGGTAAAAGGAAAGGTTAAAGATAGGGTTGGCAACGTTGGAAAAACTAGCAAGTGAAAACTGAAAAAAAATTCCACCCCTCAATTCAAGGCTCCTCAAACCTGCTCCCCCATTAAACACATTTTCATGCACAATGAGTGCACAGGCAATTATTTTGTTACCAGATTTCATTCAAATTTGATCAATATGACTCTTGCTTCATAGCAGTAACTACATTTTAGATAGATAGAGTTCTGTGTGTGACAGAATCATGTCACTAAGGGCGTTTTCACACCTAAAAATCTGGACCGAGGTCCGGACCAACGTTCATGTTTAATTACATTGTATACATTTAATCCCGTTATTTTCGGTTTCACATAGTAATTTTGCTAGTGCACTAAAGAACTTTCCATGACATACCTACGGTGTGTTGTCACCACGTACGTGTGTTGTGTGTGTTGATTGGTGAGTAGACGGGCGTGCGTCTGATGTTGGCATGTTGTCATTTTGGTGGGTAGTCTTTTCCGTATGAATGAAAATTAATGAGCAAATCCCGATTGCGTTATTATGGTATTACTACCAACATAAACATATAATCTCCTCCTCTCCCCACGTACTTCCACGACTCATTTTTGCCTGTTCTGGTGGGGGTTTTCTTCCGTTTTCTTTCTTCTTCTTCTATGGTACGTGCCTAACTTTCTGTAATTGGTCCGAAAGTCCGAACAATCCAAAAAGTTTTCCAATAAAAGTATTTTATTTCATAGGAAACTATTCTACTTTTTAATCTATTACATTATTATATGAAGACTTCCTAAATACTTCCTCCACTACTGCACTGATATGTAGCAAACTCAACTTACCGTTCATGTTGTCAAAAAAGAAATCGCTGTTGTCACCCCGACTGCTGCATGCTTGTTGATGGTTTTACCTCCTGTTCTCTTCCTGTGGTTTAACTGTACTTTGATGTTCTACCAGTTTGGCCCTTACCTGAACAATGCAATGACTTACATATAAGTTCAATATACGGGCCTTGATTATACAAAGAGTAAGTAAAAAATATCTGACATGAAAATAACACAACTTCAATCAAATCAAATCTGTCAAATCAAATTCCTGTTTTTCTGGCTCATATAGACATATGTATTTTACTGAATTTTGTAAAATGATAACATGTCCAAAGGCAAGGTAATAAAATTGAACCCTAAATGTGGTGGACAAAATAAAACACCCTAAAGTTTTGTTGTAAAACTTGTTCTATGTTCAAATGTACTTAAAATAGTAGTAGTTATTGAAAATTCAGATTACTGTGATAGTTACTGGAATTGTTTTTAGCCCTTATAGGCGACCACCCTGAAGGACTGAGAGCCTAAAATAGAAATGGTAGCCTTGAGAATATCTTTAAAAGTAGGCTATGTTACTTTTCATTCATACATTTGAATCACTTCCACCTAAAGATAAATAAAAGAAAATGGCAGCATACAACTGCTGTGAATCAACTGAACAAGGAAACAAACTATTGGCTTGTAAATTGTTGTTGTAAATTCACTGCCTTCAAAGAACCTTATTTTCCCACCACTGAATGTGATTAAATACTCAGTCTTATGAGAACGTTTTACATTTATACTGTATAAAAAACACACTTTCCTTTAGCACTATGTTTCTTGTTAAAGGTTTTCTTATTTGAGTCTTTTATTTTGTTGAAGAGGGAAGATGGCAGTCGCAGCATTTCATACCTTTTTAGGGTGGAGTGTTTTGTTTGCGTGTGTGTGCGAGAAAACATTGAAAGGATTTTGTTATTTGATTTTAATTGGCAGCATCCACACAACCGCTGGGAATCTTCGTTGCGATGTCTTCAGTTTCCATCATCCCTATCAGTCTCTGAGGCTATAGGCCCATATGTTTCATATTTCCTTCTAATAGTCCATCTATATACATATTAATTTACAACAATAATAGAACTCTATTCATCATTCTGATAATGCAGTAAAGCCCTCACAAATAATAAGATATTACTGATATGCGAAAAGGGAAATACATTTAGAGTCTTCTCATTCATTCAAGCTACTTGGCACAGCAATGAACATATTGTGTGTGAAAAAGATAGAGCACACAAAAACCTGGCCTGATTAGGAGAGATAGCATTCATGCCATACTGGATGTTTTAGTTTATTTCCGAACATAAACACTGACCACCCAGACCAGGAGGTAATGCTGCAGACCTACACGCTTCCATCAGAGCAGTTACCCACCCAAAACCACATTTGAAACCCTTTGTTTCTGTTCCCTGACCACTTAAATTATTTAAAGAGAACGTAAAACAGAAGAGTTAAACATAAAAACCTAATAAAAATTAAAACCACCTCTATAATAACAAAATAAAATTCAATGTGGATTCTTAAACATCAGATCTATGTCATCTAATGTTGTACTGGTGAATGAATTAATCTCATCTGGCTGTGTCATGGAGAATATGTTAGCCTAAATTAATCCCATAAAAGTTTAAATTTGTCCAATACTTTCTTTTATGACCAAATACCTACAAGCCTCTACTGTACTTTATGCTTATTATCAAATGTTAGCATTATCATTGTGAGGATTTAAGCATGCTGACATTAGCTGTGTGTCTAGGCGCTCACAGAGCAGCTAGCATGGCTGATAAACATGTTTTGCCACCTCCATTATAACATTGTTTTAATTATTCTAATGCACTTCTTGAATTGATTACCTTTTACAGAAAAAAACTATCTACACAAATAACAACACATTTCACTTTATTAACAGTTCATAATTAATGATATAGATATAGTGCAGGAGCACCAGAAGCCTGTCTAACACAAAGATATTGAACATTTCCAGCATCAATATATTGTAGATACAATGTTTGTATACATTAAGTGATATTTTCTGGTTAACTTTTGCAACAGAGAACAGTGATCAATGTTTTAAGAGCAGAGATACAGCAAGCAGTGTACACTGGTTTGATTTCAGTCTTTAAAATCTTATCTTTGGATACTGTTGAACATGTTTGATCTTTGTGGTTTGTGGTTACATTGGGCAACAAATCAAACTGACTCTTAGGTTAGCGTGTGACACAGGAATAAGTTTAAATCTCTGACAAGAAGTACAACTTAATATATATTTATATATAGTAAACATAAAAATCTCAATGGTTAATGATTTTTTATAACAAGATTTTTGTTTGATCTACAGAGAAATATGGCATTTTAAAGATAACTTCCTTCCCTTTCTTCAAGAGTCTCAGCTTATTATAGGTTTTAATGGACGTGTGTGTAGGATGTAGTGGTACCTAGTGGTGAAGTTGCAAATTGCAACTAACTGAACACCACTCGTGTCTGAATTTGACAACCTGGGAATGAGAACAGGCGTGTAGGAGAAACTACAGTAGCTGTGAAACTGGCGAACAACATCAAAGTCTGTATGTACAGCCAGTGTTTTGTTTGTCCATTTTGGGCTACTGTAGAAACATGACGGTCCAACATGGAAAACTCCATGGAAGCATCAGCATCAGCAACAGCATGACTCATTCTGTTCCTATGAATGTTCCTATGCCAATAGATCCTCCCAAATGTTACACACTGGACCTTGAACACTCTTTTAACTTTGGTAGTGATTGTCAGACAAAAACAAAACCATCAACCACAGTCTGTCCCAGATCTGATTTATTCTGTTCAGCCTCTGCTGCTTCCTGTGGTGTTTCTGCTACCTCATCTGCATCATGTCCTGTAACACTTTCTATCAGCACACCTACTACAGCAGATATTATTGAATAAGTGTTAAACAGTGCAACTGTTGCAAAATCTGCCAGTCTGCTCAAAAGCTTCTGTAATATGGTGAACCTGGCCTGCTCTCTGATCTCTTTCTCTGACATGTTTTCTGATGACTGTCTAATGACCTCTTCCTCTTGTTGTATTTCTTGCTCTACTGTTTGTAGCATGTCATTGGTGTAGCAATTTCCTTTGTTTGCCTCAATTATCTTGTCTATGGACTTGAGTAGCTCCTCCACCTGAAACTGGTTGTTCCTGTATTCATCCTTTGTGTTTTGGTTCCAGTATTTATTATCAATGACATGGCACCGGCGGCCACACTTCTCCACCAGATCACTCATGAACTCATTCTGGAAGACAAATTCCTCAATTATCTGTCCTTCAGGGAGCTGGTCACCATGAGTAAATACAACTATTGCATATTTGAAGACTTCTTCAGAAAAGTATTGGCACATTTTGGTGATGACAGCCTGTTCCTGCTCTGTGAATTTCTCCACTTTAAGCACAATGAGAAAAGCATGAGGCCCAGGAGCGCACTCTGTGATACACCTCACTATCTCAGGCTTCAGCTCCTCCTCAGATCTATCTGTGTCAAAGAAACCAGGAGTGTCGATCAAAGTGATGCTTCTTTCATTGACAGATTTGGTTTCTACTTGACATTGTCTTGTTTCAGAGTTGAAAGTGTGGCCTATCTTAAAACGCCTCTCTTGAAATATGGTGTTACCCAGGCTGCTTTTCCCAGCCGCAGGTCCCAAGATGACGATTCTTCTGTTCTGAAACAATTCTGAGAGAGACAGAATAATGTCTATCAATAATAGTTAGTCTTTATATCTATATATGTGTGTGTGTGTGTGTGTGTGTGTTGTGTGTGTATGTTTTAGACATTATTGTAAAATAATTAAACTATCAATTACAATAATAATCCTTATGAAAAATCACAATGAACCGGTAAAATAGTTATTATGTAGGACATAGCTGAATTTCTTTTAATAGGGTAAAGAAGAATGGTGCCAATACATAAAAAGAGGCCCATTAAGAACATCTGCACCAGTATAAGTATCTATACCCACAATACCCTTGGATATTGCCATAATTTGTATTTTGTTTTACTATTCTGGTCTTCCATATACTTTTTCCCATTATAATTGATTTGATTTTCTGTTGTTGATATTATTTGTGTTAATTTTGACTATAATAACTGTGTTGTTACTGATATTATTACCTGCAACATTGACTTCCTACTATCTGATATATATATATATATATGTGTGTGTGTGTGTGTGTGTGTGTGTATATATATATATATATATATATATATATATATATAACATGATATTAATGGAAAAAATGTCCAAATTCATAACAATAATCATAAAAGGAAACAATTATGTGACCCTAACAGCTTGAATCGCTCTGGTGTTCCCTGACAGTGCCCTGGTCCCACTCCATTGCCAGTGGTTAGGACATTAGGACAGACATATTGCCAGCTTTTTGGCTTCATGGTAGCCAGCCATTAATCTTGAGAAACATAACAAGATGTCACTGTAAAATATTACCTTGCTCATTTTGGAAACCTTCCAGTCGAGGAACGTCCTCAGCTCTGTCAGGTTCAACTGGATGAACACAAACAGACATGTGTAAAATTTTCATTTGGTAGGCTGGGATGGAGTCAACCATGCAATGCTTTTTTAAAATATTTGCACCACTAGAGACTGTAGTATATAATCTAATGCATGCGGATGACTATTATATGCTAAAAATTCTATTAATCACACAAAATGCTGGAAATAATGGTATAAGCACTATATTTTAATCACACAGAGAAAAATCAAGTAATGAGCACTGTGTTCAAGTAGAGTTGATTTTATCGTTAATATGATTTAAGTAAGGTTGATTTTATGTGAGCACACAAAACTGTTAATGAAGTAGAGAGCACCATTGTTTTAGTGAAAGTTTGATTTAATGGTTTGATTTAAAGTAGAGAAGAATATTGAATGTGTAGTTGTAGCAAGAAATAAGTAATGTTTGTACCAAAAATATGTGAATGATTGTAACACAAGCTTTTTGTCATTTTATAAGGTTTATAAAGATTTAAAAATACAGTAAAAGACGTCTATGACATAATGGTGTAAGAAAGAGGTAATGTAAGGTTTTAAAGGATAGAAGTACAGCTAAATAGATTTCAAATAGGGTGAATGGTGTGAGAAAGAAGAGCAAAAGGAAAAGGTATAGGCATACTGCCAAGGGCCAGGAAGCCAGCAAGGTTAATGATAAGAAGTGCTCAAGCCCAGCACAAGGCACAACAGGCCGTGAGGCCTGCGGGATCTGTAGTAAGACTAGCGCATGTGCAGAAGGACTGAGTGTGTGATAACAAGTGCTCAGGCCACAGGTGCAGAGGAGCTGAGGGTGATGTAGACAAGACAGTAGAGGGAACAGTCCCAGGTTGATGGAATTTTCCAGACATATCCAGGGGGATGAACACCATTATGTCATGGATAAAAAAACAGACAGTTGGGCAAGACTTATAAGTGTATAAAAGGTGATGTTCTAACATGGAAATTCAGTCTTCCCATGGATGACTCAGGTTTTAATCTTCTGCAAAGGGAATAAAGCTCTACTTCTACTGCTTACTCAGATGAATCCTGGCTGTTTCTTTTCCATCCAAAGGAAATACTATTTGGACCTAATTTGGACTTAGAATCTTTCCAACTAAAGGAAACACTATTTGGACCCAAATTTTCCATTCAAAGGATAATATTAATGGACCTGATTTGGATTTAAATCTGAGATGTTGGATATAATCTTCTGATCAGAAAAACCTGTTTTATCGAGAACCAACAAGACATATAACAACATATATACAACATAACATAAAACAAACTAAATAGACTGCAATAAAATGAAACAATGTTGGGGGAACAGGGACCTTTTAATATGATATTGTTCACTTGGTATGAATTAACTGGACTTCTATTGTGACATGTCACTTCTTGTCACCTCTCACCTGTTAACTTCCTGTGACTGTAATCCGTTACGAGTTGATGACCCACTGACAAGGTAACAAAACTCCTGATCATCCCATTGTTCATTCTGTTAAATCTTTTCTCCTCAGAGACTACATAGAGCAAAGGTGGACCCGGCCGCTGTGCCAAGGACCCAGCCGACATGGGAGGAGCACACCACCAGGTGAGCCACCGCACGCTCCATCAAGGCCAGATTTGAATGCCCTTTCTTTTCTTAAGAATAGATTTGTTATATTAACCAGGCTAGGTTTGCATTTTTGTGTCCGTTACATGATTTCTTGATACATTTGTCCTCAGCATTATTAAAAGTATTATGTTTCACAGTTCTACCGACTATTAACGAAACATTTCAAACCAAAGTCATTATTCAGAGGTGTGGTGTTGAATTTTGATCTTTGGCCAAGAAACAGGAAGAAGTTGTAACTTCAGTGTAACTTGTTCTGTGTTCCAAAAAAAACAAGTTTGGAAAAGCATAGTGAACTGAACAGAGGAAAATAGAAATCAATAACTTTTCTTCAGCAGCATAGAGATGCTTTTAGTGCAGTGAGTTGAACAAAATGTGTATCATGTAAACAATGCTATCTTTATTTCTAAAAAACTAAAAATAATAATGATAAAATAGACAGTGCTGTTAATCAATTGTATGTGCAACACTGTCACTTTCTACTGCTTCTTTTCATAGGCTTATAGGTGAGAAGAGGAATTTCCTCTGAAAATAAAATACATTCTCTGTGATTTGAATTGTTATTTTTGTGGACAAATTAATGTTACAGTTTGAGTAAAACTGTAGTGAGTACATCAGAGAGTGCCAAGTGTGCTAATGTCCCAGAAACACTGACCCCCTATGGGTGACCACTAGTTGTGAGCAAGTGCTATCCTTCTTTTGTAAAGAAAAATCTCTGGGAAATTTCCTGGAAAAGTCCTGACAAATGATTTCTTAAAAAGAGTGGGAACCCACAGCATCGCTTAATATCGCTAAATGTTGGAAGATTTAAAGCGAGGCCATTAAGTCATGTATCCATATGGTATTTCTCGGTTCATTATTTTCAAATTTCATCACACTGAATCTTGATCTTTTAAATATTTAATCTCTGTTTGCAACGCCTCTAAAATTGCTGAGCTCAGGTCTTTGAAGCTGTTCATGCCTAGACAATTAGTTTCTTTTGCAATTCAGTCATCTGATCTGATCTGTGTGTTTCTTTCTCATTAGCTACTGTACACCAGAGTATTTTCAAAAATGATTTCTCCTTTCCTCTAAAATGTCCCATTGTTACTCCTTTGTTACCTCATCTTAGTATCTTTCACTGTACTCACATTTAAGTACCAGTTAGGAACCAGTAAATATTTTCTTAGTACCTGATTTATACAACATATATACACAGTACAGTACACAATATTACACAGTAAATAGCAAGCTTATTATAAAGCAGTACCAGAAGTACAGTACAGTACAAGGACAGCACCTGCACACTGTTGAAAATATATACCAGATAACAGCTATTATTTCAGTTTCTACATCTTGCATCTTAATGTGCCATGTTGTTCCTGCCAGTAATGATCGAGATAAATTAACTTACCGTCCATGTTGTCAAAAGTGAAGTTACCGTGGAGCAACAATGAGTCAATGACAGGACTACCAGTATGTGTGTGTGTGTGTATGTAAATGTTTGCGTGTATGTGAATGTTACCTTTATCTTCTTTGAGTTTGGTGCCAGCTCCACTCCCTAAATTGTTGCACAATGAACAAAGTACAAAAAGAAGCATACCGTAGGTGTTTTCATGTACATCCATTTTGCACGTCTGAACCATGATTGAACGGAATATTACACCACATGTTAATGCTTCAATGATTAACCGATTATAAAGAGACAGAAACACATGTAGGACTTCTTTTCATCAAGTATGTATATATATATATGTGTGTGTGTGTGTGTGTGTGTGTGTGTGTATGTATATATATATATATATATATATATATATATATATATATATATATATATATATATATAAATAACAGTAACATTAAGTGGATGTGCAGTGAATCCACTCTGTCTCTCTCACTAACAGCTGGCAGTGTGTGGGTGGACAAAGTGCAGACCTACATCTGCTGTGACAGAGATCTGCAAATGCCTGTGGCGATATGTGTGTTTTGTGTGTGTGTGTGTGTGTGTGTGGGAGAAACACATTTGGCCTCCTCTGTAATGAAATTGTCTTCATTTTTCTAGTGCACCATTCATAAAGTGATTAACTTACCATGTAAACCACATTCATTCATTTTTCATACGTTTCATTTTATTGAATGTTCTTATTTGGTGATACATTGTAATCCACAAAGAACTACAACTATTGAATCAGGAGCATCAGAATCCATTCCATCCAACTCATTTTTATTTTGTGATAAAGGGTTCTAATACAGTACATGTTTGAGTTGCTCCTCCATCAGTACCATAAAGTCACATACCATTGTCATCACAGGTAAAGTAGTATCCCCACCCACATAAACATATATATACTTCTGACACATATACACATGCAAACAGGAAAAGATAAAGACAAAACACAGTGTTCCTTTATAATTTATGGATGCTGGATGATTTTGTGACTCCACTAATTCTACAGGGTTCATTATAATAGAGCTGTATATCTTGTGAAATTGTTTCTCTTTGTCTTTTTGACGATATTGTGCTTTCAATAATCAAGTATGTGGAGGTGGGTGTGGTTTGCACAGGAGAGAGGTGTGGGGAAGGTTTGTGAGAGCAGGGCCAGGTGAGTTGATTATCTCAGGTGGTACTAACACTCACTTCTCACATTCTCAGTCACTCTCATCTCTCTTAAGGCAGTAGTGTGCTGGACCTAGTGGCTGACACACAACAGAAGAGACAAGCGGAGGAAACCTTCATGGCCTTTTGAAGTGGGCTACGTTGTGTTAATAGTGTGTGCAGCTGACAATAGCAATAAAGATGTCTTGTTTATTCATCTCTGTTGTGGTCTGTGTGCTGAGAGAACCCTCGTTAGTAGCAAGACATGCCACAAAGTAATATTTCATTAAAGTTTTCCATTTTTGAAGTGTAGGTGCTTCCTAAGTTTTCCTGTTTTACAATATGACCTCCTCTCTCTGTACCCCCTTCTTGTCTATCTAAAGAAGGGGAAAAACATGTTTAAACATGTTTAGCTCAATGATTAAAGATAGTTTAGAACAGGACCTCCATGAAATTTACAGTGGGATTTGACTTTTTAGAAATAAATTAGATAAGATAAATTATCAGCACTTTGTTCAAAATTCATGACTCATTATAGGTTTTGAATGTGTTTTAAAGTTGGCTGTGGTGGTAAGTCCATCGCATAATTTGCTGCATCTGAGACACACTGTGTATTTTTGTCCTTTGCTGCTCACTGTGCTCTCTTAGTTTGAAAAAATCCTCCTATATATGATAACAGCGCACCAAGTGACCCCATAACTGGTGAAGCTACAGCTTGTGTAACCTTTCCCATACCAAACAAAGATCTTAACAATGCAGTGGTGGCAAAACCTGCCATTTGGATCAAAATCTCAATAAACACGCTGGCCTTAGCCTGCTCTCTGATCGCTCTATCTGACATGTTTACTGATGACAGTCTAATGCGCTTCTCTTCTTCTTGTATTTTATTCTCCACTTTTTGTAGCGTCTCATTGGTGTAGCAGCTTCCTTTGTTTGCCTCAGTCATCTTGTCTATGGACTTCAGTAGCTCCTCCACCTGGAAATGGTTGTTCCTGTATTCATCATTTGGGTTTCCATTCCAGTATTTATTATCAATGACATGGCACTGGCTGCCACACTTCTCCACCAGATCTCTCAGGAACTTATGCTGGTGAACCAATTCCTCAATTTTCATTCCTTCTTCGAGTTGGTCACCATGTGTAAAGAGGACTACTGTATATCTAAAAACCTCTTCAGAAAAGTATTCGTGTATTTTGGTGATGACAGCCTGCTCATGCTCTGTGAATTTCTCCACTTTAAGCACAATGAGAAAAGCATGAGGCCCAGGAGCGCACTCTATGATACACCTCACTATCTCACGCTTCAGCTCCTCCTCAGATCTATCTGTGTCAAAGAAACCAGGAGTGTCGATCAGTGTGATGCTTCTTCCATTTACAGATTCAGTGTCTGCTTTACAGTCTGTTGTTTCAGAGTTGAGAGTGTGGCCGCTCTTGAAGCATTTCTTTCCAAATATAGTGTTACCAAGGCTGCTTTTCCCAGCTCCAGTCTTTCCTATGATGACAATTCTCCAGTTGTTTGACACTGAAAGAGAATTGTCCATCAATAATACTGTACATGTGTCTTTTGGTTGTTTTCATACATAAAAATATACATATAGCCCAGCTGTTATTGAAGAGAGCAGATATTTCACTTTACCTCATAGGTATTAACAATAGGTAATATTTCCTCTAAAGTGTCCGTGCCGTGACCCCACCTTGCCTTCCCTCTGTTTTCACTGATCCTCCTCACAGTCTCATCCTCTCCTGGCACCCGGCTCATCTCTACACCTGTCTACAACCAGTTCCTCACATCACAGTTCAAGTACCCCCAAAGAAATACAGAAAGGACACTCAAAAAAACTAGTCTAGCCAATCTTCGCACACACCGCCTGAGCTCAATCTCCTTCATCTATCTCTCAATCTTACTAAACTATTCACTTCCCTGTGTCTGCATCTGTGTCCACTCTCTGTGCATCTGTGTATTATATTCCACAGTACCTAGATTTAAGTACCAGTAGGAATCAGTCAATGTGTTAATAGTATATAATAGTAATAGTTGATTATTGCCAATACCAAACTTTTATAAAGTGTTACCAAAATGTATAGCAGCATCTAAGCATAAAGCCTAAAACATATTTTCAACAAAACAGCTATCTCAATATCTTGCATCGTGCATCTTTCCGTGTTCATTCCTGGCAGAAACGATGGAAAAAAATCAACTTACCGTCCATGTTGTCAAAAGTGAAGTAACTGTGTGGCAGTAATGTGTCACAATGACAGGACTACCAGTGTGTGTGTGTGTGTGTGTGTTGTGTGTGTGTTCCCTTTATCTCCTGAATTGTTGCACAATGAACAAAGTACAAAAAGAAGCATACCGTAGGCGTTTTCATGTACATCCATTTTGCACGTCGTTTTGCACACTACATGATATAACCACGATTGAACAGAAATATTCCACCACATGTTAATGCTTCAATGATTAATTGAAGACAGAATAGCATGTTGGACTTCTTTTCATCAAATGCACTTATGGATCTGGTATGCAGCTTAATATCCTTATGAAAATAATTACCATGGAACAAGTAGCCCTGCAGCTAAAACTTGGTCAAATAGCATTATTTCCAAATCTATCACTACAGCTCTCTTATTTATGATCAACAATGTAGAAATATTAGAGGAATATTTTAGTGATGACAGCCTGCTCATGCTCTGTAAGCACAATAAGAAAAGCATGAGGCGCACTCTGTGATACACCTCATTATCTCAGGCTTCAAATGCTCATCAGACCTTTCTGTCCCAAAGAAACCAGGAGTGTCAATCAAAGTGATGCTTCTTCCATTGACAGATATGGTGAAAATAGTCTCTCCAAATATGGTGTTATGGTGCCCAACTGCTTTTCCCAGATCCAGTTTTTCCCAGTGGGACAATCCTCTTTGAACTCAGCACTATAGTAGCCAATAATGACTCTTCTCTAAAATGAGTGATCCCACCTTCAACATGTTCATAGTGACAATGCTGACATGCTGATTTGTAGCAGGTGTAATGTCGCCATCTAAGTTTAATGTGTTGCATTAAAACATTTTTAATTAAAGCTAAATACAAACAAAGTGATGAATGGTATATTTCACCTGTCTTGTTGATTTAATTGTTTTTTTATTTTTTATTTACGCATTTAAAATGTTCCATTGTGTAGCTGAGGCTGATGGGAATGCCATTTGTTGATGAACCAAAGTATTGGACAGATAATATTTGGGCCTGATGATGGCGCCAGATGAAAATTAAAGGAATCATTACCAGAATTCCTGAGGAATTTCACCAGATTTCATGGAAATTCATCCAGTATGTCCGTCATATTATGAGTAATGAGTGAATCTTAGAAGTGTGAGGCAGAATCAAGTACAGCATCTTTTAGTGTTAAGAAATTGATACAATGGTGAAATGTAAGAGTGAAAGTCCATTTCCTTAAGTATTAAAGTACAAATTTGAGATACTTGACCTTCAGATAAGTGTTTCAAGTTCATGCAAATTACTTCTACTGTTACATTTCATAGGAAAATATGAATATATATATTATAAAAACAAGTAAATCATATCCTCTCATCTATCATATTAATCTATATTAGACTGACAATTGCAGCCTGATCAACAGTGGCACACATTAACCTTTCATAAATCAGCATAACTCAATCAGTTCTGCATAAGCTTCAATGCCTGACTGATGATGATACGAATCGTCCTTCATCCCAAGGCCAGGGTACAGAGGCTGACCGAACGTGGCGGGCACTTTGTGCAGGAGAGTCATCATGCCGGAGACGCTATAAATGCACAGAACACCTGCCTTATGATCCAGGTACACTCCGATCGTGGAGGATTGGGGGCCTGGCACTGTCGAGCTGTTTGCGTTGTGTTGGAAAGAGTAACCATTTGGGGAGCACTCTAAACTCCACGACTTGTCATTATTCCCAAACTCTGAGTAATGTGAGGATGATCTGCTGATGTCTTTGTATGACACCGCCACAGACCCAGTAGCAACGCTCCGTCAAACCCTGTGTGCACAACACCTGCATTGCATTTGTAAATCTTTCTTTTTCTTAGAATAATAGTTCTCATACTTTTGATGCGTCACCCGCCAGTATTCTTGCGGAATGGACAAACACTTGTTGGCTGAGTTCTCATTCAGAGTCAGAGGACAGTAATCTGATGGAAGGGAAAAAAGCAGAAAAAAAATATTAACATCAGCCTTTTAAGATTCTGTTTGATTCATGAAATGGTATATTGTGGAACTACATAGAATCAAATATTTAACTCACAGTGTAAAAACTCTTCTCTGGTCTTTGGCACCGATGGCAGGACAACATCTATAGTAGACACAAACAAAAAGAAAAATTCTAAATATGACTTGATTCGAACTAAACCGCTTTATATTGTTTATTTGTTTATTTCTCTTTTTAGTTGCTGGAGACTGGTGGTGGCGGCGCTGCTGCCCAGGTAGTGGTATCTCCTTCTGTCTGCTGTGTCCGGGGAAGCGGGTTTCACTTGACTGAGTGTGTTTCACGTATGTCGGGTGTTTTTGAGTTGATTTCTTATTGTGGGTGAATCCCCCCCCTGCACTAAGCCCCTGTCCATACACTCTCGCCTTACTGAGTAAACTTACCTGTGTGCTTTCCAAATGAATTCTCTGGGGGAAATTCCCAGGGTGGCGTTGTCGGTTCCTTTCCCTAATTTGGTTGTTGGTCAAATTATCAGGTTTATTTTCACCTTATCCTCGCCACAACACAAGCATGAAGTCGAAGGAATTGTCTGTAGACCTCTGCGACAGGATTGTATCGAGGCACAGATCTGGGGAAGGGTACAGAGAAATTTTTGCTGCTTTAAAGGTCTCACTGAGCACAGTGGCCTCCATCATCCGTAAATGGTAGAAGTTTGTAACCACCAGGACTCTTCCTAGAGCTGGCCGTCCCTCTAAACTGAGTGACAGGGGTAGAAGCGCTTTAGCTAGGGAGGTGACCAATAACCCGATGGTCACTCTGACAGAGCTCCAGGGTTCCTCTGTGGAGAGAGGAGAACCTTCCAGAAGAACGACCATCGCTGCAGCACTCCACCAATCAGGCCTGTATGGTAGAGTGACCAGACGGAAGCCATTCCTTAGTAAAAGGCACATGGCAGCCCGCCTGGAGTTTGCCAAAAGGCACCTGAAAGACTCAGACCATGAGAAACAAAATTCTCTGGTCTGAGAAAAAGATTGGCGTGAACGCCAAGCGTTATGTTTGGAGGACACCAGGCACCGCTCATCACCTGGCCAATGCCATCCCTAGAGTGAAGCGTGGTGGTTGCAGCATCATGCTGTGGGGATGTTTATCAGCAGCAGGAACTGGGAGACTAGTCATGATTGAGGGAAAGATGAATGCAGCAATGTACAGAGACATCCTGGAAGAAAACTTGCTCCAGAGCCCTCTTGACCTGGGACGACGGTTCATCTTTCAACAGGACAACAACCCTAAGCACACAGCCAAGATATCGAAGGAGTGGCTTCAGGACAACTCTGTGAATGTCCTAGAGTGGCCCAGCCAGAGCCCAGACTTGAATCCCATTGAACATCTCTGGAGGGATCTGAAAATGTCTGTGCACCGATGCTCCCCATCCAACCTGATGGAGCTCAAGAGGTTGAGGCTCACTTGAGGCTGTAATTGCTGCCAAAGGTGCCACAACAAAGTATTGAGCAAAGGCTGTGAATACTTATGTTCAAGTGATTTCTTTGTTTTTTATTTTTAATTTGCAAAAATCTCAAACAACCTTTTTTCATGTTGTCATTATGGGGTATTGTGTGTAGAATTTTGTGGAAAAAAATGAATTGAATCCATTGTGGAATACGGCTGTAACATAATGAAATGTGGAAAAAGTGAAGCGCTGTGAATACTTTCCGTATGCACTGTAGGTTTTATGGGACCAGTGTGTAGGATTTAGTGGTACCTAGTGGTGAAGTTGCAAATTGCGACTAACTGAACACCACTTGTGTCTGCATTTGACAACCTGGGAATGAGAATGGGCATGTAGGAGAAACTACAGTACTGGCGAACAACATGAAAGTTTGTATGTACAGCCAGTGTTTTGTTTGTCCATTTTGGGCTACTGTAGAAACATGACGGTTCAACATGGAAAACTCCATGGAAGCATTGGCATGAGCAACAGCATGACTCATTCTGTTCCTATGAATGTTCCTATGCCAATAGATCCTCCCAAATGTTACACACTGGACCTTCTTACCTTAACTCGGTGCACCTAGGAGCATCATGTTGCAAAAAAGTTACGAGTTCATTAGTGCAGCTGCGGAGCAACTTCCTTTTTTCCAAAATAAAAGCCTTTTGCTTCCGTTTTAACATGCAGCGTCAGTAAAGAGCTTTAGCGCAATGATTGACATTACCCCGAGTCCATGACCATTGGACGGGGCACACGTGGTGGCCAATCAGATTACAGGGGGGGGGCGGATGCCCCCGTGCCACTATGGAAGCCCCGCCACTGACAGCAACCCAAAGGATAAATACAGGAACAACCAGTTCCAGGTGGAGTAGCTACTTAAGTCCATAGCCAAGATGTCTGAGGCAAACAATGGAAGCTACTACAGCAATGAGATGCTACAAGCAGTGCAGAAAGAAATACAACAAGAGGAGGAGAACCTTAGACAGTCATCAGGAAACATGTCAGAGGAAGAGATCAGAGAGCAGGCTAAGGTCACAGTATCCACAAAGATTTGGATCAGACTGGCAGGTACTGCAACAGGTGTAGTGTTAGGAGCTTTGTTTGGTGTAGTAGTGGTTGGAGCAGTATATGCTACAGTTGGAAGAAAATGTAAAGATCTAGTCGGATTAGCAAAATCAGTGGCAAAAGGAGCAGCAGCAGTGGCAGGGGGAACATCTGCCGTGGCAGGAGGAACAGCTGGAGGAGGAACAGCAGCAGCAGTGGGAGCTGTATTAGGGGGCATTAGAGGATCTGAAGCAGCTGAGAGAGCAGACACAGCATTGGAAGCTATAAAGAGGGCAGCAGTGGCTGTCAAAATGACGCCAAATCTGTCTATGATGCTTTTGACAAAATGTTCACATCAAAGTCAAAACAGAGTTAAAACCTATGAAAAATGAAGGGGTAGATAATATATCATCAAAAGGTCGTATCTCCTTATAGATTACATAGAAATAACATTTACCCATTGAGCTGATTGTTTTTTTTATGTAATCGGTTGTACTTCTTGTCTGAGCTTTAAAGTTAAGGCACTTATTCCTGTTTCATGACCAAACCGCAGTGTCTGTTTGACTGTTAAGTGCACTTACTCTAAATTGTAACTACCAACCACAAAGATAAAACATTTAACATCATATCTTAAAGATGTGTAAATGAAACAAGAATACACTGTTGGCTGTATTTCTGTTAGCTCTTAATCGTTTCCTGTTGCAAAAGCTAACCAGATAATATATTTTAATGTATGGAAACATCATTTTGTTAGACAAGGTTTCTGATTCTCCTGCAAAAAGTTTTTTTATTTGTGGATTGCAATGTGTCAAAAGCAAATATGGAAAAATGTAGTGGAAAAAAATTTAATTAAGGTAATCAATGTATGAATGGTTCACTAGAACAATTAAAATTAGATTATCATAGAGGTCAGATATGTTCATCACAGATAAATGTAAAGAGTGAAACAAGACTCTTCAGCCATGCTAGCAGCTCTGTGAGGCTGTACTATAGGCACAGCTGATGTCAGCATGCTAACATCCTCACAATGTTAATGTTTAATGTTAATCATGTTCATCATCTTAGTTCATCACTATGGCAACTGATAATTAGCACAAAACAGTTGAGGCTGATGTGATTGGTGGGATGTCATTAATTCTGCAGGTATCTGGTCATAAAGTATACACATTGAAAATGTTGAGCTGATGATGATGCTAGATGAAAATTATTATTAAATTATCATATAATACAATGCTTAAATGAATAATTGTAATGCAATGTAATTTATTTGTCACCATATGTCAAATTAAACAAGAATAAATAAAATGTATTTCTATGTATTCATCTATTTATTTGCATATATACACATTTGTAGCTATTCATTTGTATATTTATTTATTTACTGTTTCATTTATTCGCATGTTTATTTATTTTTAATTTTATATATAAACACTTTCATTTATCATCTTGTTGCATCAAAATAAATAAATGTGTCAGCTTATCCATTAAAAGTTAGTGGGTGGGTAAAGACCCTGATTGGTTGATCGAGCCATGAGTTTGTGTTGCAGGGACGCCAGATTCACTTGGGGCCTGTGTGTGATATAGCATGTAACTAAATACAGTAAACAGTTAGGAGGAGATAAAAGTATAAAACAGTGTGTCTTAATAATTCATGTTAGTTTAAATAAGCTATAATCAGTGATATACAGTAGCATCCAGGTTTGTTTATATTAAGAACCAACTCTCAGGCATGCACGGTATGTATACTAGCAAACTGTCAACAGGCCATCAAAACTGATCACTATGGCGGTGTTCACTGCCCTCAACTTCCTGCTTCACCTCGCTGACCTGGCCTATACTGCCAGATTAGTGTTTGTCACTGCCTGAGAAGAAAAGAGACGAAGGAGGGAGACACATTGAGCGATGAAGAACAGAAATCAAACGGATAAGAGCTTAAGTGCCCTTGCAGAAAAGTGTAGCTGATGTTGAATTTTGGACAATAAAATACACGACTCTCCCCTTTTGGTGTCTAATTGTAAATGTCCTATAAATGGCCGTATATCTGCAGTGACAGTGACAATGAAGCCAATCATAATCCATAAACAAAACATGCATGACTTTGGGCTATGTCTGAAACATTCATGCTAAATGTAATATTGATTAAGAGACAGGGTGACTAAAAACGAAACTGCAACTAAAACCACCAGAAAAACACCAAGCTGTGACGTACTACTGCACTATATTTCAACAACCTCTAGATGCCAGCACAGAGCATATTCTCTTTCCTTCACCAACTGATGAAAGGAGAGTTTTTGCATCAAGTCAGGAAATAAAAGTATTTCCAATTTACAGTAAACATATTCACATACACACAGGCAGTCTTAACTCAGACTCATCTTCACTGTACAGCTATAGACTTCAGCTAACAACATATTTAGAGAGAATGTGTTCGACCATACTTACAATTCTGGAACGAGTGAATGTCAAGCACAAACCAGATCTTTCATTGGAAGAAAGATCACCCCAAGAAAAGGGTCGAAGACACATTGAGCGATGAAGAACAGGAATAAAACAGATAAAAGCTTAGCTGGGTTCACAGAAAAGTGCTGCTGATGTTGAATTTTGGACAAAATAAATCTTCTCTTTAGACGTCTAATTGTAAAAAGCTGAATTGAGATGTCCTGTTCATGCAAACACAACAAAAACTCACTCACAGTATGTCTACATGTTTATGTATGCCCAGATATCTGCAGTGACAGTGTTTAACCTCTAATGTGAATTGACCTGTGCTAAATGAGTATTAAAATGTTTTGAAAGATGTTATTTAAGCAAATAAAGGAGAGGCACTGTTTTCTATATTGACACTCTAGGCTAAGGATACCTCTTATTCTTTAAGGATCACATCCAAGCAGATCAGAAAGAGGACATTCTTAATGAATAGTGCATTTCTGTGTCTGTCTGTCTGTCTGCTGCCAATAACAATGTTTTTGTAGAGATGCATTAGGGGCAGACAGGCCTCCAACAATAAAAGCGACAAAAATCAAAAAACAAAATAAATCAGTGAAAGTAAGCAAGTAAGTAAAGCTTTATTTCTATAGTGGTTTTAAAAACACAGTTAGATAGTGCTTCACAAACTAACAAATAAATATAAACATATGTACAGAGGGAATTACAGTAATCTAGAGAGGAGAAAATGAAGGAATGAGTAACAGTTTGCACTTGGCCTGTATCCAGACAAGTTGAACACAGATTTGGGTGGACAGGGCAGACATATAGGCCTAAGGTGTGCTTCTTTGACCCTTGTCCTTTTTTGCATCAAGTCAGGAAATGAAAGTATGTCCAAGGAAAACATATTCACATACGCAGGCAGTCTTCACTCAGACTCATCTTCACTGCACAGCTATAGACTTAACTTTTGATAACATGGGCCGAAAGGTAAGTTAACTGATTTCAGTTACTTTTGTCTTGGTTTAGTTTGATTTTTTTTATCATTATGTGATATCAACAACAAATCTGATATTTTTTCTCTTAAATTGTAACATTAGCTTTCCCATTTTTTATTGGCGCTGATTGTCACTTTTACCTGATATTGTTATAGTTTTGTTATTCGCAGGTCATAAACTTGGTTGTTTCTGAGTTTGCTCTCTGCTAACAGGCTTGCTGTAGGATACTAGATTAATGTGGTGAAAGACACAACGCTGTAACACTGGACTGATGGACTGACAGAGACATCTTCTCTCCTGCTGAGTCTTGTCAAATCAGTTTTAAGGATCGTGTTCTTTCAGTTAAACTTCCCTTAATATCATAATCAGTCAGTTGAGCTTGTTTGTGTTTCGGACTACCAGTATTTGGATAAAGAAGCTTGTGAAAAATAAGGTAGTTGTTCAGTCACTTTAATATTTTCATCATTGGCCTTTTTATATATATTGAAACCATTCTTTATTTTCTTGCTGTAATATGCTAATGCAGCTATTTATAACTGATTTCCCTTTTCATTGGGACGTTTGACTACTGATGACTTTTATTGTAATAGAGCTTATGAAGTGAATTTTATATATTAAAACAAGCAAAAGACAAATGTACATTATTGATGAACATTATTCTCTTTCAGGGTCACAGACAGTTACAGAAACAAACAGAAAAATTGTCATGGTGGAAAAAACTGGAGCTGGAAAGATGTGTTTGAGATCGACTATAGTCTAAACTCTACAACAAAAAAATGTCAATCAGAAACCAGATCTGTCAATGGAAGAAGCATCACTTTAATCGACACTCCTGGTTTCTTTGACATGGACAGATCTGAGGATATTGAGCGTGAGATAGTGAGGTGTATCACAGAGTGTTCTCCTTGGCTTCATGCTTTTCTCATTGTGCTTAAAGTGGAGAAATTCACAGAGCACGAGCAGGAGGTCATCAACAACAGAAAGAAGTCTTCAAATATTCAAAAAGAAATTCAGCACGTTTGCACTTTGTGCAGTCAGGAAGTAAAGTGGCACTCAAACTCAAACTCACATACACTCTGGCAGTCTA